TTCTGCCGCTTGGTCCTACATATTCCTTCCTGAAGAGGCCTGGTGTGATCTCACCATCCACCTGCCCGCTGCCGTTCTGCTCAAGGAGATTCACATACAGCCGCACCTGGCATCCCTCGCTAGTGAGTGTGAACACAAAATGCAATATTATATTTGGTTCATATATGAAGCTTTTTACACTAGTAAGGACTATGCTAAAGTCTTTTGAAAAGTTGAAGTATTACTAAATTCTTCTCTTTCTTTCCCAGCATGCCCATCCTCAGTGTCTGTGGAGATCAGCGCAGACGGTGTAAACATGCTTCCCCTGTCGACCCCAGTCATCACTAGTGGTCTCACGTACATTAAATTCCAGCTGGTAAAGGCAGAGGTGGCGTCTGCCGTGTGTTTGAGGTTGCACCGGCCGCGGGACGCCAGCACACTGGGCCTCTCACAGATTAAGCTACTGGGTCTGACTGCTTTCGGAAACACTTCCTCTGCCACTGTAAACAATCCTTTCCTGCCCTCTGAGGACCAGGTCTCCAAAACCAGGTATTGGAAGTCATTTGTAACATCTAAAATAATCAGAGTAGTTTTATTTCCTGTTTCAAGCCTCTATCTATTATAATATCTAATTTTCTCTCTTTCTCAGTATTGGCTGGTTACGGTTGCTGCATCATTGCTTGACTCACGTTTCTGATCTGGAGGCCATGATGGCCAGTGCTGCCGCTCCCACAGCAAACCTCCTGCAGACCTGCGCTGCCCTCCTCATGTCCCCGTACTGCGGCATGCACTCGCCCAACATTGAGGCGGTGCTCGTGAAAATCGGCCTGCAGTCCACACGCATAGGCCTCAAACTCATTGACATTTTGCTGCGTAACTGTGCTGCTTCTGGCACTGATTTGGCCAGTAAGACTATACAGATTTTCAAAAAGATTGTTTCTCATTAATGCTTGACTGCTATATTTGAATGTCAAGCAGTATCACACTGATTTGTGTGATGTGTAAATTCAGAGTCTAAGTTCAGACTAGTTTCTCCCCTTTAATGATCTGACATCATTGTTTTGTTGGGCTCTCCTTTTTATCTGAGTGGTGGCTTTGTTTTTTGTTGTAGATCTGAACAGTCCGCTGCTCTTTGGGAGGTTAAATGGCCTCTCATCAGACTCAACTATAGACATTCTCTACCAGCTGGGCACCACTCAGGACCCCGGTACCAAAGACAGGTCTGTTCCCTACATCATAACGTAAAATTAAATCATAAAGCTTCCTAATGGAGTTTGCTTGAAGTGTTCAAAGTTTGATCTTCCAGAGTCTGTTTATATATGTTGATTTTCAATACCTGTGGGTCTTAAAAGCTGCGTTTTTACTTTATTGAATAAGTTGACAGTTTGAATGTCAATTATGTTTTACCAAAGCTTAACATTTTTACATAATCTTGATAATTATGGTTTCCCAAAGCATAACTTCTGTTATAACTTCATAACCTTTAACTGTAAACTATAAGTATCTCTATTAACTTAATAATAATAAATTATTTATTAACATAAAATCTTTAAACAATAGCATTACATTATTAAACTATATAATGCTTAACAGATCATTAGAACCACAGTGCTGCTTGAAGTTTTACAGCTCTAAAAAAAGAGAAAAAGGAGGATCTAGCGCTTGCTTCAATACACATGTGACACGATTTCAAGTCAACAATAAATTTCTTTCCAATAAATTCCAATAATAAATTCCCCAAAATCCTTTTTTGGATACACATCAAATGAATTTCAAGTATTGAAGTCTTTTAGAAGCCACTCTGTATATCTTGTTATACTGTTACACCCGTACAGGTTCATACACACTTTTTTGTGGTTCTTGATGTCTTGGGTTATGTTTGTGATTGTGTTGTAGGATCCAGGCTCTGCTACAGTGGGTGTACGACTCGTCCCGGGTTGCTGCCCTGAAGCAGAGTTCTC